CAGACAGAATACTCTTCGCTTGGACGCACAGGAGACGCACTGACTGCAGCTCTCCAGGGAGCTGCTTCTGAGATGCCGCTCTGAGGTCACTAGGACCCTGGGCCTTGCTCTCTGCACAGGCCTGAGTTCCTGGGTCCCAACGCTAACTCCTGGTACAATATCCAGTAGACCCCCAGACGGGAGGGATCTGCTTGGTGGTGGGGCCCCTTGCTGGCAGGGTGCTGGCCACGTGCAGGGACAGATGATCCTCTGAGGGACAAAGCAGGGTGGGGGAGCAGCCCACAGGGTCTGCCCTCCTGACTGGATTTCTGGACTGAGGAAACCATAGCTCTGGGGGCCACAAAGCCCCCACTCCTTTCCACAGGGCTGCGGTGGTGCACGGGGCCGGGTGAGTTGGATATATCCCTCGCTGGCGCTGGCCTCCCAAGTTCACTGGGCTCACTGTGCAGATGCTCCCTTTCCTCTTCCAAGCCTGCCCCACTCCTGCCCCAGGCTCCAGGGCCAACTCTTCCCCACGGCAGCTGTGAGACTCACTGTGGGTGCCGTCCTCCCAGCTGCCGCTGGGTGCACATGCCGGGTGCCTTAGAGGCTCATCATGTTCAGGCCCCACTCCAATCCTGTGAGGTGATCACACTTACTCATCCATCATCCAGAGGAAGAAATGGGCTCAGGGAGGTGAAGTCACTTGCTTTAAACCATCCAGCAGTAGGCAATGGAGTTGAGATTCAAGTTGAGGTCACTTTACCTGCCTTAATCAACTCTCCCCCTAGGCCTAGCCTTCCAGCGTCCCCACGCTGGCTGGCGGAGAGGCAGTGGCCTGGGGCCTGGCTCCCTGGCCAAGTCTTGCCCACACGCATTAGCCCAAGGTGTATCTCAATGCCCAGAATCTCCTCCAGAAAACCCAGTCAAGAGGGGTGACTCAGGGGTGCAAGCCTAGCTCATCATGGCGCTCACCATGGCATCTTGGAAATGACCTTGCCCCTTTCCCATCAAGAGGAGCTTGGGTGTCTGTGGAGATCTGAAGATGCTGGTGCACCTGGCGTGACAAAGCCCAACAGACCTCACTATGTTCTCTCCCACACCTAGAAGGCAGGCTCCTCAGTTTGCTCTGCAGGTCTTCTCCAGACCCAGAGCAAACACCTCTTCTTAAACAGCCTCCCAGGCCCGTCCTCTCCACTGAGGGGATGCAGGGTGGGGTCCTGCAAAGCCCAAGGGCTTCAGAACCACCGTTCCTCAGGGGTCTTAACTATTCTGCCCCGTGCTTCTCAGGTGAGTCCCTTTCAGCTCTCCACACGGCTGGAATGGAAGCCCCATTCCCTCAGCTGGAATCTTCCAGCCAGGGGCACTTTGTCTTACCAGACAATGAGAGCAGCATCACCCTTGGGGGCTCCTCTGGAAGCTCCCTGCCCTTTCTTGGCCTGGTTCCCTCTGAGTCATCACTACAACCCTGTGGCAGTGGGCCCAGGATTGTGTTTAATGCTGTGGACACTGAAGGTCTAAGAGGGTGAGGCCTGCTGAGCACGCCCTGGCTGGCCAGTGACAGGGTCAAGCCCAAACCACGCCTGCCTGCTGCTGCAGAGGCAGAGCCTCCGGACACCCGGGGACATCTACTGAGCTCTCTGGCCTCCTCAGCCCATTTTTATGGGGAAGAGAGGGCGGGAGAGGAGGGTACAGGAGGTTAAGCGTCCTGGCCAAGGATGCAGCCACGCTTGTGGACTCCAGGGCCCTGGGGCAACTTGGTCTCCTTTCTCCAACCAACACCTTCTCCTCCTGGGCTGAGAGTGCTCCGGACCTGGGTCGCAATCTAGAGGCGTCTGCAAAGTCTAGTCCGCGTCCCCTGAGGTTGGGCAGCGACGCCGGCTGGCTTTGTCCCGATGCTCCCGCCCCAGTTGAGGGCCCCTAAGAGAACAAGGGGTTGGGGGCATTTCCGCCGCAGCCTCCCGGCAGGCGGGATTGCCAGGAAAGACGGTGGGGGCTCCGCATTCCGGAGGCCGCTTCGGGATCCCCGAGCTCCTGCAGACGGAGCCAGGGAACAAACCTCCCGTCGGCCCACCTGCCTCCGGGCGTCGGGGTGGCCCCAGAGGCCCCCGGGACGACCCGCTGGAGCCTCTCCCGAAGAGCTGCCGGGACTTCGGGCTCCGGCGCCCCGGCGAGCCCCACCAGAGCGCTTTCCCCGCAGAGCGACGCCCGGGACGGCCGGTCGGTCTGTCGCCCGGACGCGAGCCTGCCGCCGCGCGGATACACCCCCGGCGCCCGTCCCACTGCTGCTCATCACCCACCGTGCACCAGTCTCCGCATGTCCTGGTAACGAGCCCACAGGTGCGCGCTGAGCTCGGCGCCGCCGGCGGGCGCCGGGGCGGGCGCGGAGCGCGGGGCGCCCGGGCAGTGGGTGCCGGGACCCGGGGGGCCGCAGCCAGGGCAGGAGGGCGAGGACGAGGAGGCTCGCGGCCCGCCGTGGCCGCTGCACGGCAGCCAGCGCCGAGCGGCCGCCCGCAGCCCCGCACCCGCCATGCCCGCCGCGCGCCGCCCGCGCAGCCCTCTGCCCGTCGGCCAGTCCGCCGCCCTCCGACTGCGCGCCCGCCACGGTGGCCGCGTGCTCCTCACGGCGGCCGGCCAATGGGCACGGCGCGCGGAGTCCGGCCGGCCAATGGGCGCGCCCGGCAGCCCGGGGCGGGGGGGGGGGGGCGGGAGGTCCCGGGACGGGGCGGGGCGGGGCGGACTCCCGGGCCCCCTCCCCCGTCTCCGCGAGGCCGAGAAGGACTCTGCGCCCCCCTTCGGTCGCCGCGGCGGCGATGGCCGCTCCTTCGGCCCCGCTCCCGGGAGGTCGGAGGGCCTAAGAACGGCCGTCTCCTTGAGGCTATGGACGGCCGGGGCGCGGGAAGGGGAGGGCCGGAGCGCGGCGGGCCCCCCCGCCACCGCCCCCCCCCGGGTCCTCTGTCTCCCCCTCCGCTCCCGGGTCCTCCTGCCCCTGCCCCTTCCCCATCCCTCCCCCCCGCCCCCGCCCCCGCCCCGTCCTCCTGACCTCAGCTCCGCCGCCGCTCCCCGCCAGTCCTGCGCCGGGGGTCCTGTTCCCCGCAGACCAGAGGCCGGCCCGTTTCACTCTAGCGAATAAAGAGCCCCTACCTCGCGCCGCCCGGTGCCAGCCCCACGCCGGTGAGACCCCGGGACCCGCAGCGCCGCCGACGCCCGCCGAAGCGGCCCTTCCTTGCCCCTCCCTGTACCTTACGCAGGTGACCCCTTTTAACTCGGAGAAGGAAGACCGGGCGGTGCGCTGCAGAGTGGTGGGCCCGGAATCACAGCACCTGCCTGGTTCTGATCTCAGCAAATGGCCTCACCGACCCCACTCTCTGTTTTCCTGCACAGGGTCCCCCTTGAGATGCCGTGGTCTCTTCTGGCAATGTCTCCAGACTTTCCATCGAAATTCTGCATTCCTGCTTGCAACCGCTCGCCACCTGTGTTTCTTCTACGCAGATCTGTTTCCTGAGTCCGCATGCGTACCGGGCCGTGCGCTAGGCTCTGAGGAGGCCAATTTAGCACCGGTGTGCCCTGTCGGTGGGAGCTGGCCAGCTGGACACTGTTTCCTTGGGGTGCTCCTCCATTTGAATATCCACTGCACCTTGGCTGAGAACCTACATACGGTGGGCCAGGAGCTGGGGCGGGATAGAGGCGGAAGGGTAGGCCCATGGGAGCCCAAAACTGAGCTAGGAGGGCGCTGGAGACCTGTCTACAAGTAAGCCTCCTCAGGGCGGGAGATGGGTACCCCGCGGTGAAAGGCTCCCAGAGCCACCAAGAGAAACTGGAGTGAGCTCCAAGCCAGTGTGCACGGAGCTGGGTAGGGTAGGCCCCAGGAGAAGGCGGGTGATCCAGGAAGCAGCTCTGGGCCTGCTGCTCTCAGCTCGACTCTGTGACCCTTGCCAGGGACAATGCTTGCTCTCTTTCTCTTCTCTAGCCTATTTTTGTATATTTTGTGTTCCCATCACCAAACTTTTTTATTGACTTTAAGTTTTCGTTTGATGTTCCTAGATTATGTAATAGTTGTCTCCTTTCTCAAAGATAGGCCCCCGTTGTTTTTTTAGCCTTAGGTAATGAGTGACAGTCCTTTACAGCAAGCACAGGAACTCGCTGAGGTCAGAACCAGGCAGGTGCCTGGTTCCGGGCCCACCACTCTGCAGCGCACCGCCCGGTCGTCCTTCTCCGAGTTAAAAGGGGTCACCTGCCTAAGGTACAACCAATCTTAACTTCTCAGTTTCCCATCCATGAAAGGGGATGATGTAAATAGAGGGGAGTGTCCCTAGGTTCTAGAATACATGTAAAGAGCTGGCTCCCAATAAATCACCATCACCACCATCATCATCCCATTTTAGCTAATGGTAATTGATCAGTTACTATGCTCCGAGCACTGTGTTAAGTGTATCCCTCTAAATCCTCACAGCATCAAAGAAAGGCCCCCATTTTGTGGTTTGACAAAGCCCATGCTCTTGAGCCGCTCTGCTCTTCTGTGATTATTGTGAATAAGGAGGTGATGCATAAAAAGGACCTAAAAGTAACGGTATAACCTGCATAACGGTAAGTGCCCCATACAGGATAGCTTTTATTAATATCAGGGTGGTTTGTCACAAGGCGATTGCTTGGACTTTTGTTGTGATAAAGTTCAGCTTTCAAGAATGCATATCAAATTGTTATTTTTAGAATTCTAGTCATCAGTCACGACCCCGAAATAAATGCAAAGCATTGCATAATTGCATTTTAAAGTGCGGTACACCTTTAGTCCATCAGAGAGGATCATCACTTCTAGCAGGACTTTAAGAGAAAAGATGGCGGTGGCAGAGTAGGGGGTGCCGCCGCCAATTCCAAGCGCTGGCTTGCAAAGAGGAGGCCGGGGCGGGGCCGGGTCGACGCCACGTGCGAGGCCCCGCCCTCCCGTGCCGCCCCGCCTCCAGAGCCGAGGCGCCTGCGCCTGCTCCCTCCGGCCGGGCTCGACCTCACGGAGCACGCGCGCTCCGCCACATTCGGATTGGCGGATCCGCGCGCCCCACGGCACTCTGATTGGTGGAGTCGCTCAGGTTGTGGGTCGGGGGCTCCGCGCTCGGCTCCTTCAGCTCAGCGCTCGGCTCCTTCAGCTCAGCGCTCGACTCCTTCAGCTCAGCCCCCGCCTGGCTACAGCAGGGCCGGGGCAGCACGGCCACTAGGCCTTCGGACTCGTCTGTAGCTGGGCGCTCCCGTCGCTCCCGGTTCCGCCGTACCCCTCTCCACGACCTGAGTTGGGCATGTTTTCCAGGGCCCAGGTGAAGCGGATCCTGCAGCGGGTGCCCGGGAAGCAGCGATTCGGCGTCTACAGGTTCCTGCCCTTTTTTTTTGTCCTGGGAGGAACGATGGAGTGGATCATGATTAAACTGCGTGTGGGCCAGGAGACCTTCTGTAAGTGGGGGTGCAGCAGCGTCCGTCTCATTTCAGGAAGGCAGGAGGCGGCTAGGGACCCGTTTTTCTGGGGGGACAGTCTTAGGTTGCAGACCGCTCATTTCACTCAGAGCGCTGAGCTGCCTTTACCGTGGTCAGAAGGGCAAGTACGGTTCCGTTCGCGGCCCGGCCCTCTTGTAAGCGGGGCGACAAAGGCACATTGGCGTCCAACCTTGAGGTCTTCCCTGCACTCTCAGGGGAGAGCACGTGACTCCACGCTGGCCGCTCTCCTCGCAAGCCTGCCCCTCACCCCTGCGGGCTGGTGACGTTTGGTCCTAAGGAACAGACTTGCTCACAGCACCGTGAGCTGTGGGAGTGGATCCTGAAGATTCACGGAAACTCCTGCTAATTGGCCAGCCCTCTTCTGGATTCTTCAGTCCAAACCCCGGAAGGAGCCGGTCTGCCTGGCCTAATTACCACTGTCTTTGCCGGGCAGAGCCCCCAGCACCAGGGCCCAGCAGTGGAAAGAATGCCTGGCCCTGCTTTGTGGAGCACTAGCTCTGGAAAGGCCAGTTCCCCTTCTGGAAAGACTTTCCCACCCCCTAGGTCCTTTCTGCTTTATCCCTCTCTAGAAACATGTATTACTTGTGAATTGCCAACCCTTATTTTAAAAAATTTCTTTTAAAAAGACTTTATTTTTAAATAATCTCTACACTCAACATGGGGCTCAAACCCACAACCCTGTGATCAAGAGTTGCATGCTCCACTGACTGAGCCAGCCAGGCGCCCGCCAACTCTTATTTTGTTTTTTTAAGATTTTATTTATTTGAGAGAGGGAACACAAGAAGGGGGAAAGGCAGAGGGAGAAGCAGGCTCCCCACCAAACAGGGAACCCGATGCGGGGCTCGATCCCAGGACTCCGGGATCATGACCTGAGCTGAAGACGCTTAACTGACTGAGCCACCCAGTGACTGAGCCACCCAGGCGCCCTCCACCCACCTTTATTTTAAAAACATTGTTACATTAGTGTTTTCCAAAGATATTTAGTCCTTTTGTTTATCCATTCATCAGTATTTAATGAGCAGCCATGAGAGTATATAATGAACAAGGCAGAGAGCCCCCCCACTCCAAAAGAGCTCTAATGGCAGAGACCCAACATAAAGACAGTTACTGTTAAGTGTGATCAGTGCAGTGAAGTGTGTCTGTGTGTGCGTGTGTGTGTGGGGGGCAATGGTAGTCTTGGGTGGGGGTACCTCAGTTGGATCAGATGGTACAGGGAAGGCATCCAGGAGTTACCATGTCAGGTGGGACCTGAAGATTGAGTAGGTCAGTCCGATGAGGGGAATGTTAGTGCTGAGTTGAAAGTGTCTCATGCTAGTGGTAAAAGCAGACATGGGGCTATGGTGTGGATGTTTACTGTGTTGGAGGGACTGCAGGTGAGCAGAGGGAGGGATGAAGTGGTTAGAAATGTGCCTGGGCAGGGCCACAGAAGGACTGGAGAACCAAGAATGTACCCAAAGGATTGAAGGGTTTTAATTGGCAGTGGATTAACACATGAGGGGAATGGCTTCTTGTGGAGAGGAGGCAAGAATACTTAGACTGTGTGGTTGTTCAGGTCTGAGACGGTAGCCTGGTTGGATGGGGACAGACGGGATGCCAAGAGGTGACTGGAGTTGAGAGACACCTGGGAGGTGGTACTGACAGGGCCTGGGGATTGAGTGGACTCAGGAGATGAGGAGTGGAGACTTCTGGTAGGACAGTTAGGGGGACACTGGCAGGATAGTCTGAACTCTGTTTTGGACATGCTAAGGCAGAGATGGGTTATACAGATCTGAAGCTCAGGAGGCAGATCTGGGCCATGGATCTGGGTTTGTGGGTCATTTGAAAGCAGATTGTGATAAAAGTCAGTGTCAAATCCCAACATTATAAGGGTGATTGGGAGTGACTAGAGAGGCAAGGAGGGAAACCAGGAGGGTTTATCACAGAAGACGGGAGGTCCAGGAAGTCTGACTATGCGAATGGGAGGTCAGCCCTCCTCCCCACCAAAGAGACTTGAAGATACAAAGATGCTGGTCAGAAAAAGGTAGTGGAGAGAAGCCGCAGATAACTAGTTCTTTGGAAGGTAGGAGAGATTGGGTAGGAGAGCAGGGCCATAGGAGTAGCCCTTGAAAGTTAGCTGGAATAGTCCTTTGTTGATGACTGATCTGTGTGACCAAAGTTCATGGCCATCTGGGGGTAAGTGAAGAAGGATCAGGGTTATGACTGAGGAAACAGGATTGTTAGGCATCACAGTGGGCCCAGTTAAATGCATTAGTTGGCCCCACAGTGCAAAGCAGAGTGGAGGGATGGAGGAGGGCAATTGGATGAATCTGTAGTTGGGGTTTTGAAGGTGTGTCAAGAAGTTGATGTTGATAGGAGGGAATTGCAGCTGGTTTGAGCAGGAAGACAGAACAAGATGGGGCTGAGGCGGTATTCAGGGGCCAAGTGCCTGAGGAAGAAGTTAACAGAGGTCCAAGGACAGAATGACTAGAAAGGTAGTAGAGGTTGTGGTCAGAGCAGGATGAATTTATTACTTCAGAGAGCACTGCAAGTAGATGGCAGAAGTTGACTGGAGAAGTCAAGGAGGTGAAGGGGGCTAGCGCTTCATCCGTATGGTAGGTGATGTTGCCTGGGAAGATGGTATAGGACAGGTCAAGGAGCCTGAGCTAGATGCCCGTGTTTTCAGTGATTGAAGGGGAATAGAGAGCAGGTGCCCATGCAGAGAAGACTGTGGCAAATGGCAAATGCCACACAGGAAGAGGGTACAGAATCAGCGGTGTGGAAAAACAGCAGCGGAGACCAAGGCAACTGACCTCACCTCCCCACTCTGAGTTCCTGGGTGTGGGTGAGGGAGCTGCAGAGAGCCTAAGGGCAAGAAGTGCCTTTGAGGCACTTCACTTAAGGATGATTTCAGAGCGGGGCACCTGGGTGGCTCAGATGGTTAAGCATCTGCCTTCAGCTCAGATCATGATCCCAAGGTCCTGGGATCGAGCCCTGCATCGGGCTCCCTGCTTGGCGGGGGGGCCTGCTTCTCCCCCTCCCTCTGCTTCTCCCCCTACTCATGTTCTCGCTCGCTCTCTCTGTATCTCTGTGTCTGGAATGAATAAATAAAAAAATCTTAAAAAAAAAAAAGATGATTTCAGAGAAAATAGACATTTGGGGGGGCAGGGAAGGAAGTAAGGAAAGTCTTAAAACATTGCTAAGAGGTGTGCTAGGACATGATCCTATTTTTGAAGATGCGGACTCTTACCATGCTATTGAAGTCCAGAACTGCATTATCATAGTCCTCATTTAACTCGTTATTTTTAAAGATTTTATTTATTTGTCAGAGAGAGAGAGCACAAGCAGGGGGAGCGGCAGGCAGAGGGAGAAGCAGGCTCCCCACTGAGCAAGGAGCAGGATGTGGGACTCGATCCCAGTACCCTGGGATCATGACCTGAGCCAAAGGCAGCCGCTTAACCAACTGAGCCACCCAGGCGCCCCCAAGTTTTTATTTTTTCTTATTTTTTAAAAGATTTTATTTATTTATTTGACAGAGAGACAGGAGAGAGGGAACACAAGCAGGCAGAGTGGGAGAGGGAGAAGCAGGCTCCCCGGTGAGCAGGGAGCCCGATGCGGGGCTCGATCCCAGGACTCTGGGATCATGACCTGAGCTGAAGGCAGACACTTAACGACTGAGCCACCCAGGCGCCCCCAAGTTTTGTTTTAAATGAAGTTTATTTTGGCGTTGTTAAAAATGGGATTCAGAAATAGCTGACAGACCTAGACTGTTGGTTAAATTAGTCCGATCTGAGTACCTTTAATTCCTGTTTCTTCAAAGTCTAAGTAAAATTCTTATTTGACACAGATGATGTCTACCGTAGAAAAGCCTCAGAACGACAGTATCAGAGAAGGCTGGAAAATGCATCAGAGACTGAACTTCAGCCGTCAATAAAGTGAATATGAAATTTCACTACTGATTTCAACTCCTTTGAAAATGTACTTTTCAGATCTCTTGTTCTTATTCCGAACTGCCTTTACAAAGAATTTTTATAGTTTTCCTGTCTGCTTCAATACTTCCCAAGTCACTGTTGGACAGCACTTACGGAAAAACTATTTCCTCCTGAAACACCTGCCCACTGAATCTATTCCATGAAATATTCCTTAAACAATTCAAGGATCAAGCAGGATGCTTTTTTAGTACAGTCTGAATTGTTTGTGAAGTCTTTTGTTTCAGGCAACAAATTGATAACCTTAATTTCCTTTTCTCAGAATTCAGATTTAATCATGGATGTAAAAGTAAGATCTCTATTACAAGATTATTTAAACCAGGATAATTATGCAGATTACATTTCTGCCAGCTACCAGTCTGTCACCATTTTGCGAGGGTGGTGGGAATTCCTGACCACACGTTACCCCAGTCAGGTGCTCTTGTGATCAGAAATAACCCCTTCCTTTGCCTGTCCCTACTAACATACAAGGGCTGGACCTCCACGAGGACTCCAGAGGGGACAGGCTTCACACCCGTCTGTGATGAAGATGTGCTTTCATCCAGCTGCTAAAGATAAAGACACTGCTTCTTCCCTAAGAAAACGAACCTTCACACTGAAAAGCAAAACCATAAAACAACCACAGACTTCAGCTAAGAGGTTCAGAGAGATTTTGTAATTTGACCCACAATAAGTTTGGGTCAGCTGATAGAAAAAACAAAGGCTTTATCCATTTTTTTTTTCTTTTAATCCATGCTTGGTAACTACATCCAACATCTATTTAATCAAGAACATCTCTCTATTAAAGAAGGCTAAGTTCAAAACGCTTTCTAACAATTGCTCATCAATATACAGAAGCAGATGCTTAAGGCCACAGGGTATTCTCAAGTTAAAAGATCTCTGCCACAAACATATGTTCCAAGTTTTTCTAGGGTTTTTTCTAATTTAAGCTAGTTCACTGATCTTAGAACCAATTCAGTATAAATAGCGAGCCACTGACTACTCAGATCTCCTTCAAGCGCTACCTGCACCAGCTGAGAGTCATGGCTCAGAGATGGCTTGAGTGTGAAGACCAGGGAGAGGAAGGAGGTTTTCCTGTGCACTTGTGTGAACTAGAGAGTTCCTGGTGAACCTAACCTCATAGGCATTTTAGTGGTTAGACTGCAGCATAAGGAATTAAATTGTGGTAGGATTCTCCCAGTTATATAGCCTTATTCCATGTTTCCCCCACCCCAGTTTTAGTTTAGTATTGATATTATATACAGAGACTATGTAACTTACACACCTTTTTCAAAGGAAAGTTATAAATACTAATAAAACCGTCAGCTAACTTCTGTGTCTGCTGTGGGTCCCTCCCTGGCCCACCTTCCTGTCTGCACCCCAGAGAGAATCACCAGCTACAAATTCATGTTTAACCTTCCTTAAGAGTTTTCTTCTTTTTTTAAAAAAAATATGTATCAGAGTGCTCATTTACTGAAGGACAACAAAACTTTGAAGAAATGTCTCACTTCAAGGCAAGGAGACTGGCAAAGCAATTACTGCATTAAATTGAAGATACTTTCAGAGCACATTAGTTTGGATGCTAGAGAGTAAAAACTAACCTTTGTTAACTGAGGTGAAAGCTTTTTAACTTCGCCTCAAAACAAATTTTAACCCTCCTAGTACAGAATATGACTCTACCTGACTTACTAAATACAGGAACTATTAAGGGAACTTTAATAATGTAAAGAGCAATGCTCTTATATGCTGATTACAGAACTGCAGTGCCTCCTAGTGTAAACTACAAGGCAAAACATTTAATAACATGTATTTTAAAAACTGTACTTCTAGAATGACAAAAATTGAATTAGCATTTATTGCTTGAAATTTACTTCCACTATGGTGTTGGGTAAAGAATGTGGGCTTTGGAGCTTCACTTTATCAAATGAATTGATAGGGAAAGTTACTTAGGTACACAGTAAATTCTCAATAAATGAGGGCTACTATTTTGATCCGTCTAACAGTCCTATTCTGGAAGTCTTTTTATTTTTTAATTTTTTTTGCAGCAAAGCATGGTTTATTGAGTGATAGCAAAGTGACAGTACAAAGCTCCCGGGGAGGGAGGGGACCCAAGAGGGTTGCCCTCTATTCTGGAAGTCTTGCCTACATCTCAGCTGTTAAAACTTAAACACATTGATCTCCTTTTTTAAGTCTGAATTTTTCACAGCAAGTTACCCCACATTTGGGCCATGGTGTTTTTCAAAGCAATTCTCTCCTAGAAAAGCAGTACAGTGTCAGTTCGTACTCTTTACACATGTGCATTAAATTTGGAATTTCTTGTCACATTTTTGTGCAACCCACAAGATATCAATGCCACCATCTATTCTGGGGATAGAAGTCTATTCATTTGTTCAGTTCTGAACTTTCATTCAGCTGATCTAGCACACTTGCAAACAAAAAAGGAACAGAGTAACACTCAGCAGTATTTGTTTGCTCACAGTGTTCAGTGGGAATGTTCAACTATTCATCAGTGATTATTCAAAGTATGCTCGTGAGCACAGAGGGCAGTACAGCCCCGAACACTTAGGGGTACAGAGCCACAGGGATTTGCAAAGTGATATTAGAGGAAAACAGTTGGTTGATTTTACCAACACTTCTATTAAAAGTGTGGTCATGTTTTTAAGAGCTTATAAGCATGTTGAAGACATACCTGGGCCACTGGTCTCTTCCGGCCACAGACAGCTGTCTGAAAGGGCTTACACGGCTTTATGATACAAGACACGCTTTCCTTACCTTCCACCATCAGTAACTCTACAATTTTAACTTCAACCGTATTTCTGCCCACGATGAGGACATGTTAGGAATTCCCTGACTGCCTGCCTGAGAGGCTTCTCGTGGGGCATGTCCAGCTGCAGTGTGACTGCATTCAGCCTGTGCTAACGCAGCCTGAGCCCCGAACCAGGGTCTGCTCACTGATTTTTGCCTCCACCTGAGGAGCTTTGTTCCTTTAAATTGGCAGCTATATATATCCCTGTCAGCATAGAATCAAGGCTTGCAGGAATTAACTCTGCTTGAACCTAACATCTGACACAAGCTTAAACAGAACAACCAAACCTGGTTAATCCAAATCACTTTGCAAACTCCATTTTTATTCGGATTAAAAAGCTTTAAATGAACAAACATATGATACATACATGTTATAAGACTAGTTACCACTTAAACCTCCTTTGATACAGAAATTAGAATAAACCAAGTTTGAATTAGGTCTGAAAATGTTCAAGCTCAGAAGTCAACAACACCAGTTTGAGATTTCACACAAAGAAGTGTCCCCTTTCAGTTTTTCCTCATAGGAAGACAAGGGTGGGTTCAAAAACAAAGCAGTTCAAAGGCCTTTTAAATCAGTTGGCTGACATACTATTTTAAACCTATAGGTTTTCTCCCAAATAAAATTCTTTTCCACATGAACTTACATTTTGAAAACATTTAGGCCATTAAACTTTCTAAGCCATATCACTAGTTCCTAAAACTCATGGGGGAAAAAAAAGATGTATATAGTTCACTTGTACTTTCTTAAGTCAGGACATTAAAAACAATTTTTTTTTGGCTTATCTTTTTTGGAAAATGGCTGACCTCAAATCTTATATCCTAAATATTAACTGATATTCTCCAAGTTAATATACAGAAAGACATGATTCTAAAATAAATACATAGATTTTTTTTTTTTTTTAAACTTAATTAGGGCCTGCCTACTGGCCCCCTGGCCCGGCTCTGCACTGCCTTAGGGAAGCCCCTGGCTGGATCTATGGTTTCTACAGCACCTCTAGACACTGGGAAGGAGCCCGGAGGAGGAGTGCCCTGGCTTCTAATGCCCCACCTAGCCCAAAGAAGTTTTTAGAAGCTTCCCAAAGAAGTCTCATCCAGACCTTAAAAAGGGAAATAAAATGGGTGCATGAAATAAATAAATAACTTAACCAAAATTAGATTTCAGGTTCTTTGGTGTAATTCAAGAATGTCTAGAAATAAAATAATCTGATTGTATTATACAGTCCATGATGATTCAATGGCCCAAATAACTAGGAACTGAAGATTTCTTTATCTGATTCAGTTTAACAATAAGGTAATGACATACTACTGCAATATATTTTTTAAAATTCAGAATTATTTAAAATACTTGATGCAAACTGAGATCCAGTGGTTGACTATAGGCAATTAAGTTACAAAGGCCTCCTGTATTTAAAGTATCTAGAATACAGGAGACTTGTTTCCATTTTACACACTTTTGTCCCCATGATTTAGAAAGAATGGCAATTAAATATCCAGCTATTGATTCATACCAGATTAAAAGAAAAAAGTATCCCTTGAGAGTCACTCTCTCAATTTACAAACAGCAAGGGAAGCTCCACCAAAATGGCAACAATCTTGTTACAAAAAAACAGGTTTCAAAAACCGAGTGGAATCCAGGTGTGGTGCTTTTCTACCTGTCTGTGCATCATACTCTGCCTCCAGATGTTCATTCGAGGCTCATATGAAAGAGAATGGGTCAACCCCAAGTGTTTGGGATCCATAATGATCTTTTTAAGTGAGTATTTTCTTAGATTATAATTACTTTCTCCTGAAATTCAAAAGCACAAATTAAATTTAAAAAACATTTTAGAAAGCCTTAAATTTCTGGTTGAGAATTACAACGCTGAGACTTAGAAGGAAAAAAAAAATGCCACATCTGGTGAGGAAATAGATACGAAAACATACTTGCATATGTAGACAGTCTACCCTTTTTACAATTATGCTTCTGACACAGCTCATATCTGGTTATGCACTCCCTTCCCTATGTTAGGTTGGGTGTTAGGTTTAAAAAATCAATCACCTCTATGCACACCTCGATGCTTTCTTCAAGGTGAACTTCAATCTTTTTCAATGTAAGAGATTTAAAATTTTAAATCATCCAACAAGTATAGGCATAAATTGTGAATTCAACATAAATAGATCGAAAGTACCCTTAAACTTACCTGCCAAGACTAAAGGTAATTCAGGGTTGTGCACATGTTCTGCAAAAATACCTGACACCATAGATGACTAACAGCACAAGAAACTGTGCTCTCCGCCCCCCTCCAGGTGTCTGAGAGACGCACCAGCTTCAGAAGGATGCACAGCACTGACTTCAGATTTCTGGAGCAAGTCTCTGAGTTAACAGAGCAAATGTGCCAGGTCTGCCAAACACCTGTAACCTGAAATAACAACTTTTCACTTCACCTGTAAAAAACAGCTTTTGCTGAAGTGGCTCAAGATACTCAGGTACATGAAGCAGACACCAGTGCACTCCCCTCTGTAAGATGTAAACTAGGACCAACTTCACATTTAATTGTCAACTTAAACTAATCTGTAAACTCTCGTGCGCGTGCGCGTCTGTGTGTGTATATTTTTTTCATTTTGTTTGTTCTTTTATAAAAAAACAAAACCAAAAACCAAAAACCAAAATCCCAAGCCAAGACAAAACCTTTGATGGTTTCAGTTCCATGGCAACAAGTAAAAAGATAAAACTCCAAGTCTACATATACAACCAATTATGAAACTGGTTTTAAACGAAGGAAACATATGCAAAAAAATCTCTGTGTATTTGATAAAGTCAACTTAATATAACAAAAACAAATTGAAATAGCTTATTAAAAGTGTCCTTATATAAAAATGGCCTTGTGATGTACAGTAAAATGCAATAAAAATTACCATCCTTTGTTCCTCCCCCCCACCCCCAGTAACTAAAATGGCTACTGTTCCACAAAACTCTTTATGCTTCTATAAAAGAAACGTAATTGATGTGATTAAAGGTTTTCTAGATTGTACGCTTGGCGAATGTTGAGGGTGTCTCGGAGCATCAAATCCCGAAGGCGCCAGAGGGCATCTGCCATGGTGGTGTGGGCCCCTTTACTTTTCAGCCAGTGAGAGGGGAGGCGGCTCTCCTGTTCTTTTGACAAATGGACATCGCGTCTTCGAGCTGAAAATTAAAATGCACACAAGAAAAATAAAAGTAGGAATTTTAAGGTAACAATTTCCTCCTCAGACCTAAGGTCTGATTAGCATATAACATTTATTATTTATTAAGTATTATGAATTTTAACTCTGCAGAGTATTTCCAAGCAAATGTCTTTTATCATTTTATTAGACATCTTCATTTTTTTTTTTTTAAGATTTATTTATTTGACAGAGAGAGACAGCGAGAGAGGGAACACAAGCAGGGGGAGTGGGAGAGGGAGAAGCAGGCTTCCTGTCGAGCAGGGAACCCGATGCGAGCTCGATCCCAGGACCCTGGGATCATGACCTGAGCCGAAGGCAGACGCTCAGTGACTGAGCCACCCAGGCGCCCCGGCATCTTTGTTTTTAAAAAATTATGCACTTAGGTATAAGGCTACCTAGCTAAGGATGTCTTGTTTTATGCTTTGTATTTTAGAAACTTAGAAACTTAGAAATTTTCTAATTTATAATAATGACTTAACAAAAGAGCTGCACAATATAACATAATTCTCTATGAATGGGAATATAAGAGTTGCACAAACACCTAAAGATCTGATCACCGGGGCGCCCGGGTGGCTCAGTCGTTAAGCATCTGCCTTCGGCTCAGGTCATGATCCCAGGGTTCTGGGATCGAGCCCCACATCGGGCTCCCTGCTCCGCGGGGAGCCTGCTTCTCCCTCTTCCACTCCCCCTGCTTGTGTTCCCTCTCTCACTGTGTCTCTCTCTGTCAAATAAATACATAAAAAATCTTAGAAAAAAAAAAGAAAAGATCTGATCACTAATACTGTGTTGCAGGCAGTCCTGATGATTAATAATTTCTTCAGGGGCGCCTGGGTGGTGCAGTCGGTTTAACTGTCCAACTCTTGGTTTCGACTCAGGTCATGGTCTCAGGATCACGGGATCCAGCCCCACGCTGGGCTCCGCATTCAGTGTGGAGTCTGCTTAAGACTCTCTCTCGCTCTCCCTCTACCCCTCCCCACTGCTCTCTCTCTCAAATAGGTAAAGTAAAAAAAATTACTAATTTCTTCAGTGTTAACAATGGTTCCTAAAAAGGAAAATGTGAGGAAAGGGAAAACACACCTATTATTCTGAAAGATATCAAATGATCAAATTTGGTTTAGAAATGAAGATCGAGAGGCACCTGGATGGCTCAGTTGGCTAAGCATCCAACATTTGATTTTTAGCTCAGGTCATGATCTCATGGGTGATGATCTCGGGGTTGTGAGATCGAGCCCCACATCGGGCCCTGCACTCAGCATGGAGTCTGCTTGAGATTTTCTCCCTCTCCCTCTGCCCCTCCCCCTGCTCCTGCACTCTGGCACTCTCTAAATAAATAAATAATAAAATCTAAAAAAAACCAAAAACAAAAAAGAAGAAGAAATGAAGAATGATGAGTAGGAACTTGTACATTTCTTTCCAGAAACCAGCCAAGTTATTTTATTTTTATTTTATAGGGAGGAGGGGCAGAGGGAGAAAGAATCTTAAATAGGCCCATAGCCCAGTGTGAAGCCTGATTTGGGGTTCGATCTCACGACCCGGAGATCATGACCTGAGCTGAAATTAAGAGTCAGACACTTAACCAACCACCCAGAGCCCCCAGGCAAGTTATTTTAGTATGTACTGAAAACACATTAAGTCCACTGAACTAAATAAGTAACTCAACAGGTTAACTGAAACCTGTTTTCCAAAATTTTTTTCTTTTTTAAAAGTTGAACTGAAAGAATATTTTTTAAAGATTTTATTTATTTGACAGAAAGAGAAAGAGAGAGCACAAGCGGGGGGAGCGGCAGACAGAGGGAGAGGGAGAAGCAGACTCCCCGCTGAGCAGGGAGCCCGATGTGGGGCTCCATCCCAGGACCCTGGGATCATGACCTGAGCCGAAGGCAGACGCTTAACGACTGAGCCACCCAGGCGCCCCTGAACTGAGGAATTTTTAATTTACCCAAATGCATCTATATTAATGACCAAATGCCTAAAAAAGAATTGAAAAGAATTCAGAATATTACTTACAAGATAGCAGTGATGTTTATGACAAAACTTAGAAATTCAACAAAAACCCCACCACTTTCCGTGTGTGATGTCAATACACAAAAAAGCTTCAAGCCCTTCTATTAAATACAGAATTTATTTTACTTCTCTGAGAAAAGTGGGTATCTATCGCACAATATAATGCCAATAGCAGTGAGATTTCACAAAGGCTTGTTGAGAAGGACTCCTTACCTGCCAGGGTTTGGTCCCACTTGCTAATGCTGTTGGACTCAGCACTGAGTCCTTCAATGTATTTCAAGTAGGCCTCTGAGTGGAGAAGCCGTTGTGTCTTCGGTGGGGGAGCCACAAACATGGGCGTTGTTGGCTGCTGTATGACAGGGGGGCCGGCTGGATGTGGGCCAGGATATGGAGGTGGTGCCTGCTGCCCTGGAGGCCCCAAAACTCCTACCTGAAAGAGCACAGAGCACACGGTGAGGGGAAAAAAACCACTTGGCGCGTGCTCTGAGAAAGAGCGTAACTTGAATTCTGTCGAGTCCTAGAAAATCCAACTGAGAGGCTTACCTGCTGTCCGTACGGACTTCCACCTTGTGCTGGAGTCCCCACCATAGGGGCCACTCCTTGATTCATCACACCTATAATTCAGAATGCAATGGCACAGTTAGAGGCTCTGGGTTGAGAAGACTACTGAAAAACTACTGATAAGAAACGATGCCATTTATAATGCAAACCTATGGATCTCTGCCCTTGAGTTTTTGTGGATAGGAATCCCAAAATGGGATGCAGCATTCAATGGAAAATTCATTCTGTTGTTTTCTAGGTATTTTAAGTATAATGCTAGTACAATCTGTCAGATGTGCATTAATTATTCATGGTTTAGAAATGCTCTGAACCCTGCATAAAATTCTAGTATTCCCCTAGGTCAGCTATAGTCGGACTACGTCTCTATTTTCAAAGTATTTTTCTTCTGACAGCACATTTTCCTGCCACTGAAGCCCAGGTCTCATTCTGGCAGTAACGGTACTGCAGTGAGGCTCAGCAGCAGGCCGTGTACGAGGACAGCAGGGACACAAGGGAAGAGGCTGTGCAAGGGCACAGTTCAGTGAGCCCCGTGGAGACTGGAGGCCCATCCCTGCTGCCCTCTCACAGGCCCCCAGCACCTCTGCTTCTAACGGGAGTCACTAATGCTGGCAGGCAGCGCACTTCCATCTGGTAGAGCAGTACTGTGAAAAGGATCATCTGGAAGCAGGTCAGCCTCGCTGCTATCACTTCAGATGCAAAAATGACAAAGACATTTCATGGTCCTACTGTATCTGTACTCTGTACCTGCTAATAATTTTGTAAACTTCCCTTGATGATTCCTCACAAGCAATTTCTGTCCCATAGGTACTAGCTGATAACAGTGAGATGTCCTAAATTTAGTGTCTGGGGCTGTTGCAATCTCAGGACTGTCCATTCACTGAACAGATGCTGAAATAAACAAGGGTCCCAGTTCATTAAAAACTACTAAGCTATAGCCAAAACCCTGGTGAGCTACTATTTAAACAAGTCCTGCTGGCTGCCAAGAAGGATCAAAAGGAGCTCACCTCATACACTAGTTTCTCTGGATTCCAAATGTTGCTATTTTGGCTAGGCAGAACCAGTCCACTATTCTAAGATTCAGAATTGCTGAAGGCCACTTCCGGGAAGTATTAGATATTTGTTAGAGAGGAAGTAATAAGTAAAAATAAGCTTTCTGTTTACAAAACAGGGATTTTTGTAAGTACCCAGAAGTTTACTTGGATCACCATAGCAGGATCCTCACGATTATTTGTGACTGTTTAAGAGGTTGTGGTGGGTAAGCTGCTGCTCCAGCAACATATTCACAACCCCTGTGAACCCCCCTCTCCAGGACACTCACCCTCCTCAGATCCCACAACACAGGGGGCCTCCCTGAACTGCCTTTCTCAAATTTCGCAGGGCACAAACAACTCAGCAATTCCCTCTGCTTCCTGTCTACAAGTGCCATGCAAGGGGGCAGCCAGTGAGAATGTGGGCTGGTCACCAGAGGAGATCCCCAAGTCCTCCTCTCCTCAAAGCCTGAGCAGATGTGTGCGTGCGTGCATTTGTGTGCGTGTGTGTGCTCATGTGAGTGCACGTCCCTGCTTCCTGTTTACAGATGCCATGCAAGGGGGATGTCAGTGAGAATGTGGATTGAGTCACCAGAGTTCCCTGAGTCCTCTCCTCAAAGCCTAAACCGACGGGTGCCTGTTTGTGTGTGTGCGTGCACACGTGCATACACGTGTGGGCACTAAGAGGGGTTCTTCCTTGTCTCCCTAAAATCAAGTGTGTGTGTGCCTCCTTCAATTGCAGTTTAGAACCCAAAGAAGGGGAAAGGGACACAGTATGCCCGATACCCACCAAAAGGTATCTGCTACTTAGAGGGTACTGGCCTTAAGACATGGCTCGCAGTGAGTACCACATGCACCTAGAAGTCAACTCCAACCTGGTCTGAGTCAGTCAGATACCCTGTGCCAAGGTGAGAGGGCACAGAATGAAGGCCGATTCTACCTGCCACACGGGCACACCCATTTTATGACTGACTGGTGCTGCAACTCACACACAGGCCACCGTTTCTATAATGAAGCACCCACTCCCATAAACATTTCCTGCTCTGGGTACATCTGGATCAAACATGTGTGCGTGGAGTTCTGGCCATTCTCTAATAGCCACAGGAGTGTGGCTGGAGGCTCTAGACCAAGCCCCCAGGCTCACTTACCCTGCACACTGCTGGACTGGGTGTGCCACTGAGGGACTATCGGGGGGAACTCAGTATAACCCACTACTGGTGTAAGCAAATCTAACATCTCTACATTTTGTCATCTGGGCCAGGCCTTTAGCTGATATTCTGGATAATGACCAAATGCTATTCTAAGTTACCTTCAGGTCACATTCCCTCCAACCAGATTATAGCTAAAGCCCAGTTCTTTTGCATATGATGGCAATTAATACGGGAGCCTGTGATTTTCCTTTCACAATATTTTAACTACTAATTTTAAAGTAAACCTCTAGCTCTTCCTGAACTCCATTTGTGTTTCCACATGACATAAATTCTGAGCTTCTGTTGAGAGATAAATCAGTGTCCACAGTCAGTAGGGTGGGGCTATGCTGCTCTTTAAAATGTTATGTCAGGGTGCCTGGGTGGCTCAGTTGGTTAAGCGACTGCCTTCGGCTCAGGTCATGATCCTGGAGTCCCGGGATCGAGTCCCACATCGGGCTCCCTGCTCAGCAGGGAGTCTGTTTCTCCCTCTGACCCTCCTCCCTCTCATGCTCTCTGTCTCTCATTCTCTCTGTCTCAAATAAATAAATAAAATCTTTGAAAAAAAAAATAAATAAATAAAATGTTACGTCATACTTCTTAGGGGGCTCACATATGGAAAATGTGTTCATTGCAATTTGTTCCCTCCCTCCTTTTTGTTCCTAGAATGATTGACTGCAGGATTTCTTCATCATCATCAGTGACTCTGCAATCCCCTCAGAAGGGCTGTTTGAGAAGCAGGAGATGAAGCAAGGATTCTATAAGAAGACAATCTTTCAGTAAGAACTGAACCAGAGGAAGAAGTGCACTTAGGACCAAAGTGCTTTTATATGTGACTCGGAACTAGCAATTTGGGAAACTTCACTCACTGATAAAGAGGGCATGACCTTCTAGGCTGTATTTGGCTTTCTGAGCACATGTCAAATTATCTGAGTGGTGTGCACATAGGCCTTCTGCCCCGTGGTCTGCTGAGTCTGGTCTCTGCCATGTGTCCTGTGCTGCCACTAGGCAGTCAGGTGCCTGAGGACACAGGTGCTGAGCTGCCTGCTCAATACACAGGACAGGCCCTGCTGCTGACAGCCCTGGGATTCTCAGTGAGGACAGGCCTGGCCATAGTGGGCAGCAGGTACCTCCTGGAACAACTGGCTGAGGGAGGAAAAAAGAGAATATGAAGATGAGATTAATGAGTGAATGAGGATGAAGTTCTTACCCGGTGGTGGGATGCCCGGGAGGCCGGGCACACCTGGCGGAAGATGGTGGGGTGGAGGCCCCCCAGGGTGAAGTGGCTGCATGCTGCCCATGCTAACAAGGCCATCAACTGGGCCCTGCAAAGGTGGAAGGCCTGGCGGATAGCCACCCATCATGCCTTGAAGGACACAACAAATTTCAGACATGCATCATTAACATGCAACATGAGCTAAGTAATAACAAATCCCCCCACATGCACTACCAATGAATAAAGCGCCCTTAGTACTGCATGATATAACGGCAATTAGTGCAATTATTTTGTTGCAATAATGAACAAAATAAAAAGTTACAAATATGCAATCCAACATCTGTGGATGAATTAGTACTTAGTATATTATTATTTGTAGTTATTTTCCCTGGAATAAATACGCTGCATGTTTTCAGTTAAATAATAATAAAGAGGAGTTCCAGTAACAGCCTTCCCAAGGTCATGATTATTGCAAGCTGTTCAAACAGAGTGACCAGTTCTGTGACTGCGGTTCTAATTGATCAGCAGAAACCCCATCACTCCACTCTGCCCACACTCATATGCCTATCATGGGTATACATGAGGGGAAACTGGAATGGAGGGAAATGAGGCGCACAGCCCTGATCACAAAGCATGGTTCTCCAGCTGGGAGCGGGGCGGGGGTGGTGGTGGTGGAGAGTTTTTCAAGGCTTCCTCCTCCCTTCTAGCCCCACCACTACTGGTAAAAATGGCTCATGCTCGGGCTTGAGCTGGGGAACAGAGAAGAGCCATCACAATGGATGATGTTTCATCTTTAGATCTCAGAAAACATGTAAAATAAAGATAAAACCTAAACCCTCCCAAGCCAAACTAAGCCCAGGTCACTTGGTAGCGGGCACGCAGACCTCAGAAGGAGTGGCTGGAGAATCAGGCTCTGCTGGCATGAGAAAATGCAATTGTCACTTCTGTCTCCGAGTTCACAAAAGCCCTCACATAAACCTTCGGTTAATAGGGAACATTTTAAATGAGGTACAGAATTTCTGTGAACAGAGGCTTTTACTCCTTTATTTTCAAAGTGCATCTTCACAACACAAAATATTTTCTGCTGGCTAGGGAAGAGTTTCAAGAAACAAGTATTTTTGGCAAAAGGAGTGAAAGGGAGAAAATAATTTCAAAATGTCAAAAACTCACCTATCAAAAGACCTTTAAAGCCACATGACTTTTTTTTTAAGCAAGAAAAACAACTTGACTCTTCTGGGATTTGAAATGATCACAATAAACAGAACATAAGACTCCCCCCAAAATGCAATCATCTTTGGTCACAGCTTCTTGCACAAAGGGAGGCTTGAGGGACTGCTGCCAAAGCTCATTTTTATAAAATACTCTTTGTAGAGGGACCCTGGGAAACAGTGGAAACTCCAGATTCTAAGGATTTTACTCTTTGACTTTCCCTCAAGGATTATTTGAAAGGTACTTGTTTATAAAAGATTGTTTAGTCTTTTGAAGCTATAAAATTACTGAAAATTGTGAGATTGATTCAGCCTGCTTCATTAGTCATATCTAAGCTGACTGAAAAACTTACAATTACACAAACCAGTAAAGCAAATTTTAAATAATAATACCTCTATACCTGAAACAGGATTGAGTTTCATTTTTTAAAAATGAGAGTTCAGAAAGTAAAAACTACTTTTGTACAGACACTATCATCTTAAACATAGGAGATCCAAAGCTACCAAACTGCCTTTTAACCACACCACCAGATACAGCTTTAGGGATAAGTAGGTGGGAGTTTAAGAAAGTTAGGAGGCTTTGCTTTCAATTACAAAAGCCCATCTGAACGCAGCCTTCACAGGCTGTGGTTGAAGAAATTATTAAGAATTGAAAGACATGACACTTGTCTTCATTAAACTGTACTTTGGCACTTATTATCCCAGTCACATGTGTTCAAATGAGCTTTAATGCTTGTAAGCAAAGCTGGTCTCAGACAGCAACAAGGCTACGACTTAGGCCCTAAGCAATCTGTAAACCCATGAAAAATCACCCTCTCAGCTGCAAAGTTCCCGCTGTGGACCAAAGAACTGGTGCCTGTAGAGAATGCTTGCTTGCCCTTCACTCCCATGGCCCTTCGGAATCTGGGCAGCATATGCTTAATAATGGAGCAGGGTCTTTCTAGAAGGGGTCCCACCTCCTCACCCATTAGAGCTCGGTGATGTTATTCCCCAACAGGGAGCTAAAATGCTGCAGCTGCTGTGTTTTAATGTTTTTAGCTGTTTGAATTCATTTTGTTAATGTGTCCCTGGGCTTTTTAGTCTAGGGCACAGTGCTACAATATCACATATCAAACAGAACAGAACAGGATGTCAACGAGGGAATTCTAACTTTCAAAGTCCCCATGTTCAAGGCCTGATTTCTAAAACCCCCTGGAACCCCATTAACCAAAATGGGCCATGGAATAGAGCAGGCGATTATGAGGTTTGTTAGATCAACGTCAGTTACACTGAAAGTACTGAAAAGCCATGATTCAGATGTGCTCTGGCGAGTGCAACTGCTGAGTTCAGCGACAGTGCATTTGAGAACTTGCCATCACAAAAGGTAGGAGCGACAATGGAAAAGTTATCCTATGCTACTCTTCCTTAAAAAGCAAATACAAAAAAAGCAAAAACAAAAACAGCATCCCAATGAGCCTGCCTTGAACAACACTGTCTTGGACTCCCTGCGAAAAGAGGTCAGACCGCTTGCTTAAGAAGACACTCAGGTGGTTTGTATGGACCTCACCAGGCCTAGGGAGATCACGAAGGAGGGACCCGAGAAGTGGTCTTCAGGCTTCTCACTGGAGACAGGTCAGACAAGGATATTCGATTCAAGAATAGCCAAATTTGCTATGGCCACCAGAACCAGAGACAACACACACAAGCAAACCACATTCATCATTTTCTTTTCTTTTTTTAAAAATATGTGACTGGGATACTAACAGAAAATGCAGTTTAATGTAATTAAATAGAAAAGCATTACAGAGTGGGCACAATGAATTGAATAAGGACTTTGTATTCCACTTAGCAGTCATGCACATTAGTGACCAAGAAAGGATTTACAATTCATTGTCAAAAATCCTTTTAAATGGTCAGTCTTTTAAGGATGGCTGCAGCAGAACCAGGCCAACTGAATACTGGAATGAGACGGGAGAATCAACATCACCTGAATGCTACTTTTGTCTTTTCTCTCGGGAGTCCCTCCAGAACAGAATTCAGGGTCTGTTTATGTGTTCTGCTATAGTGCTCTACCTCAAGAGCAGTCTGGGGTGGAGAATATCGCCAGACCATGTCCACAGCCAGGCTAGAGCTGCTCCCTACCAATTCCCAGGGCTGGGCCCAGGGCCCATTTCTGGGGCAGAAGGGAGGCATTGCCCATATGGGAGAGGCGATATAAGGACGACATGGACGACTTCAAACTTTGACTCTGCCATGAGAAAAGCCTAGAGACTGTGGCCTACTCCTCATTGGAGAAAAAAAAAAATGAAGGAATTTCTTAAAGTGGAAAAAAATGGTCTTAGCTCCTGTTTTTACCTGCAACAGGTGTCAACTGCTGATTGAGCATCCCCATTGGTGTTGGTGGTGGCACCACCCCCATGAGAGCCCCCACAGGGGTGCCTGCTCGGGGAGAAGCACTCGGCTGCTGTTGCTGTGCTGCGCGCTCTCTCTCCTGCTGCTCAGCAACTTTAGCTGCCCGCTCTGTAAAGGCATTTCAGATTTTCAATTCTGTTTTTAACCCAGGAATTCAAAATACCATCCATTGCATTCAACAGGACTAGTAAAAACACAGGCAACAGTTCTGTCTCAACGGAAGGAACGGTAGATGACTAGTCTCAACACAGGAGAAGTCGGGCCGATTTCACTCGGTAACCTAGAGTCCAGCTTTCCTATCCCATCTTGAGAACTGGTCTGCAAAGATTTCAAGAATGTTAAGACTGCAACACACATTCAGAAAGCACAGGTTTTATTTAAACACGTCACCAGCGTAACCAACGTGGTTAATCTCACAAGGCACCCTGAAGATGAGAAGCGCTACCATTATTCTAGTATTAATAGCATTACAAATTATTTATAATTTCAACATGAAGCAATTCCATGGCCCATTATAATTTTTGGCACAATTGTTACTTACACTACTTTCCTCATTTCTTGCACCCAATTTTACTATGATTTGAGGACTCCTGTCATTAGTGTCATGGGGTTTAGCAGCTGAAGAAAATTAACTCTGTAAGGGAAAAGTAGCTTACTGCTTCCTCCACGAGGTTTTAGGGAAAATAAACACTACTTCCTACACCCTAATGAAGCCAAGAGGTCATGTTTAATAAACCCCAAGGGAAAAAAAATGTATGATACTCTAGGCTACAGTCATTCAAAGCAGGGAATATGTATACACATATGAAGCAATGGATATGTACTGACAGAACCAGGTTTCCTGAAGCTGAGCAGTTCAATACTGACCATAAATCATCCTAAATCAGCAAAAGTTCCAAGAATTCACTCTGATTTCATCCAAAATGCAAGAGGAGCATTTGCTTGTGCCAGTTCTGGGCTGTGGAACACACCTTGCTACACCCCTTACCCCGCTGAGCTGCTCTGCCCCGCAACTCCATAGCCAGTAGTCCCCAGCGATCCCATTCCCAGTCTTTTTGGGAGCTAGCAGCCTGGACCCTTACTAGAAAACACTAGAAATGTGTATTCCCCAAATTCCCACAATACAGGGCTTATTTTGCTTCACCATTCATGAATAGGAAAGCCTCCTCACTCCTCAAAAGGGGCAAACTGAGGCTGGGAGACAGGTAGTGACTTGTCCAAGGCTACAGAGAGAACCAGCAACATGTGGCCCTGACTCATGATAGCACATTCCACTGCCACACATTAACCTTCCAACATGGAATTCAAAAGACTACTGTTGGCTGATCTGAGGAGTGGAAAATAGTTCGAGATCCCATGGCTTTAAAGAGAATCAAGAAGCAACAGCTCGAGTCCTCCGTTAGTGTATAAGAATGTGAAAGTCAAGCAAGTCAAAGCTTCCTAGGCTGCAACAGAGTTGCCTAGATAGGCTAGTCATCACTCACTAACACCGTCCCAGTTTATAGATCCTCTGTACAATGAGTGTGAGGGACAAAGGCCATTTGAACAACCCATTTCCTCTGCTAGCAGTAAAAAAAAACATTGAATGACCTAGACCCCCACATTAAATTCTAGTATTTTCATTACACAAATGACAGTAAAATGGGAGAGCAAAAAAAAAAAAGTTGAAAAAAGAAAAATGCAGATCTGTGCATCAGATATTGGACTGGCTATGTGTTGGCTCTTTTCGGGAAGAGCCCAACGGGCTGTGCTGGAATAGAGAATTGTTAAATGAAGCCAGCCAAACTCCAAACTTTGGGTTTTGAATTCAAACCCAAATTGGGTTTTGGTCAAAACAACAAAAGGCAGACACTGCTGAGTCATACACAACTCATCTCACTCAATTTTCCCTGAATTTCACACTCTCCTTGGAATTTGGGAGACTTCCCTAGAAGCCATCATTTCTCCCTCTCTTCAGCCCTGCTTCAGGGTTTTTACTTTTACACTACATCCAGACACATTTGTCTTTCTTGTTCACATTCTAAAAAACCAGCCACATTTGCTCTAGACTGGGCTTTACACTCATGTGAGCTACATTTCCAATCCTCTTCCAATGGAGTGATATATTTGGTTTTAACTTTAAGGTCAGAAATACCAAAGCTCTACATATTTCGAGGTTCCCCCCCCCAAAGTTTGAGGTTCTTATGGAACTGACTAGGGTTTCTTAAAGAGTGTTCTGCAAATTATTTGTTCTTTACGACATTAAAAGGTATTATATGAATACTTGGTCAAGTTCCAGAAAATGCCAGTTGAAAAAAAACAGGTGTTTACTGTAGGTCTTAAAGATTTTGATATGGGAATATGCACTGTAAGTTTCCAAGAGTCAAACTGTCTAGAGTACTTTTCAAACTGGTTTTGCCACACAGGTTTTTCTGGCTGAACATCTTGTAGGATTAGGATTCTGCAGAAAATCTTTGGGGAGGTCTGTCAGTTAATTTTATAATTATCAATCAATTGATATAAATGAAAGGAGTAAAATCTTTTTTTTTTTTTTTAATTTCTTTGGAAACACCATAAACTTCAATAAAGGAGGCAGCCTTAATAATTAATTTCTTTATGTTTACTGGAAAATAACGGATTTAGACCTGGCCAAGATAAGTAATGGTTGACCACAGTGGTGAACCACTGAGAGACAGTTCTAAACTGGCAAAATGAACCATTATATACAATCCCAAATGGAGAAATATAGCTCCAAAGGCAAGAGTCCTGCCTAAGCTAATGTTCATTATTCATTTATTAAAGGTATGCCTGACATTAAAAACAAAACAAAACAAAAAAAACCCAAATCTCTCTAACGTACTTGTCCCTAAAGGCTAAGAACCACCAAATCTTTAAACGATAGCTCATGGCCCAAAACGATTTAATTACAGAGTAAAAGGAAAATAAAGGCGATTGAGCTTTATCAGAGACTTCAAGTGCCTTAAAAGTAGCTATGAATGCAGACATTCATATGAATGCAGGACTGGCCTAGGAAACCAAGCGCTTTCAGCCAAGTCTCAGCCTGGAGCTTAAACATGTGGCTTATCAAGAGCCACAATCGATCCTGATTTTGAAAGCCCCCTTTCAGATGAATTTTAACCAAAATTCTAATTTAACATCTTTGTACAATCATTCCCCAGCTCAACACATGTGTGCTTACAGGACTCAATGAAAGAAGAAACCATGCAATTTTTAATAGCAAAATATTGGAGAAATTTTGGGGGAAAAAGAAAAAACAAAACAAAACCCCACCAGGATCAAAGGCCAAGTCAGGGGCACTGCTTACTCAGTAGGACAAGGCTGGCATTTAAACTGCTGGATGGGAGCATTTGAGACAGTCCCCAACACAAAGTTCATGTGCAAGTGGTAAGAACAAGAGAGTAAAACCTGTCTACGCACGTGCATTCCTGAAAACACCCCCTTGCTTAGAAAGCTGAGACAGTTGCGCCTAGTCTCTATTTACCTTCATATTCTGCTTTCTTGGCTGTCTCAAGGTTTCTCCATTCTGTCCCCACCAGTCGGCTGAGCTCCCCAAAAGAGTAGTCTGGATGCTGGGCCTTAATCACAGCTCTCATCTCACTGCTGAACAGGATGTAGCCGCTCATGTTGATTTTCCGTTTGGAGCCTTCCTTCTTTGCACTGCCTTTGGCTGACTTTGGGGTAGACTGTAAGACAGAAAGCTCTTATAGCGCATCAGACATTGCATCTGGTTAACTGCTCAGGGTTTCTGGAAGCCAGGAACATGTGATTCAATAGTTACTATTTTGCAGACACGTTTAATTTATAGCTGGCCATTTCCTTGGTCAAAACAGTTCTTCCTTGCTGCTTACCATATAAGAAATAAATGAAAGTTTCACTGAATTCCATGACTATAATCTGTAATGGTGACCTCACAATTATGTCTTGGGAAAATTCTGAATGAGAAAAAAATACAAACAGAGATCACCTCCACCCAGATGAGGGTTTACAGGAGGAGAGATGGGAAAGATATGGAGAGTAAAAGCTACAGTAACAGGGTGACGCCACTCCTCACTGCTCTCCTTTAACATAAGGCAGGGAGAGCTTTCTAACTAAACGTGCCATTAAAAACAGTTATCTATGCACATTTTAAAAAGATATGAAATTTAAAATGCTTAGTGTCGTCAAGAAAGAAAAAAAAAATCTATTTCTTTCTGTAGAATTCCAGGCTGAAGCTCACATATGTGGGGGCTGGATGTCTCCTTCCCTTGGCTTGAGTGGGTTATGAACCAAAGCTGAGAATAAGAGAAGTAACAGGAACTTGTCACCGTCACCTGTGGGGGTGTGTAGGGCATGAGATCCAGCTCACTGGCCAGGGGGGTCTGAAGTTGAGGTAGAGAAGGAGGCTCAATGACCTCACTATCCTCTTCTCCCATCTCTTCAATATCATCATCTCCACCTTCTAACTCAGCAAATTTAGCTTCTAGCAACTGGATCTTCTTTTCCAACAAAGGTGAGGGCTCTTTCTGAGGAACAATTGGTTTTCTGAAAGAAGTGATTAAATAAGTAAGTAAGTAAGTAAATAAATAAATAAATAAATAAATAAAATCACCAAACACCACTCCAGGATTGATCAGAAAGCAATGCTCTGCCTTAATATTTAGAAAAGACTTCCTGGGGCACCTGGGTGGCTCAGTCGGTTAAGCGTCCAACTCTTGGCTTTGGCTGGGATCGAGCCCTATGTTGGGCTTTGAGCTCAGTGCAGAGTCTCCTTGTCCCTCTCCTTCTGCTCCTCCCTCCGTTCTCTCTCTCTCAAATAGGTAAATTAAAAAAAGAAAAAAAAGACTTCCTGCAATCTCAATGTATACTCTAAATCAGCAAAGGAAAGAACTTAAATGTATATTTATAAAGTCACACGTACTTATGGATGTTTGTTTTTATTTTTATTTTTATTTATTTTTATTTTTATTATTTTTTTAAGATTTTATTTATTTATTCATGAGAGACAGAGACAGAGAGAGAGAGGCAGAGGGAGAAGCAGGCTCCCAAGGAGCAGGAAGCCCGATGCGGGACTCAATCCCAGGACCCTGAGACCATGACCTGAGCCGAAGGCAGACGCCCAACCATCTGAGCCACCCAGGCGCCCTGGATGTTTGTTTTTAAAGGATGGTGCTGAATACCTACAAAAGTACTGGGTCCAAAGTTGGGATCTAGTTGCCCATATAATACAGTGAAAAGAATTTTCGTACTGTGGAACTAGGCAATCTTTTAATAGATAGGCTATAAACCAGAACCAAGGAATTTTGCCTCCATATTATAATTACTGGAGTCTACGTCAAGGGCAGTTACCACATCTCAGCAGATTACGAAGATTTTCCTTTAATTTTTAGCTGAATTAATATTTTCTATTTGAAATGTATACTGCTCTAGTTTGAGACTTAATAAAAACAAAAAACCACCATGGTCTACACTATTTTGATATCAGTTTTCCTATTAAGGGCTGAAGTGCTCTTTCCTCCTGTTTTTCAAATTTTACCTGAAGTAATAAATCTCATCATCTACCACTTTCGCAGAGAGTGAAAACCTCTTCAGTCCCTTGAATTTCTTCATCTGTTTGTCACTCTCGTTGTAGCGGCTCTCACAAAGCAGAATGTCATTTTCTGGTATTTCAGTTGGTCTGCAGGAGAGGAAGTCCTTGAATGACAACACAGCGCACTTTCCTGAAAGACAAATTGGAGGGAAATTAAAGGAGTAAATTGTGGCCGCAGCTAACAATTATTTTAAATTTTTATTATTTTTGAATGAATACATTCACATGATTCAAAAGTCAGATTTAAAAGGTATACACAAGCATAAGGATAAGGTGTGCAAATCAACAATTAAAAGTCTAGATAAAAATCCACACAACTGGGTTTTTACAAGCAATGGATTTTTGACAAGGGTGCCAAGACAATTTGATGGGGGAAAAAGGGTCTCTTTAACAGACAGTGCTGGGACAAGTGAATTTCCACATGCAAAAGAATGGAGTTGGAATCCTACCTCACACCGTATACAAAATGCAACTCAAAATGGATCAAAAACCCAAACGTAAGAGCTATAACTATAAAACCCTTAGAAGAAAACTTAGGTGTAAATCTTTATGACCTTCTATTAAGCAGTGGTTCCACAGATGTGACATCAAAATCACAAGCATTCAAATAAAATAAACTGGACTTCACCGAAATGAAAAACTTTTGTGCTTCAAAGCCCACTTTCAAGAAAGAGAATCGGCAACCCACAGAAGAAATATGTGTAAATCATATCTGTGGTAAAAGTCTGGTATCCAGAACATACAAAGAACTCCAATAGCTCAACAATAACCAGACAACCCAATTATAAAACAAACAAAGGATCTGAATAGACATTTCCCCAAAGAAGACATACAAAGGGACAAGAAGCACATGAAAAAATGCTAAACATCATTAACTGTTAGGGAAATGCAAACTGAACCACAATGAGATACCAGTTCACACCCATTAGGATGGCTATTATATTAAAAAAATAAACCTGAAAATAACAAGTGTGGACAAGGATGTGGAGAAATTGGAACCTTTATACATTGCTGGTGGGAATGTAAAATACTATAACTGCTATGGAAAACAGTTTGGCAGTTTCTCAAAAAGTTAAACAGATTGCTATATAATCCAGCAATTCTATCTCTAGGTAAATAACTAAAAGAACTGAAAATAGGAACTTAATTAGACACTTGCACACCAATGCTCATAGCAACATTATTCACAACAGTCAAAAGGCAGAAACCACCCAAATGGCCATCAACAGACGACTGAATAAACAAAATGTTATATATACATATAATGGAATATTACTCAGCTTTAAAAGGGAATAAAATTCTGATACATGCTACACCCTGGATGAACCTTGAGAAGATTATGCTAAAGTGAAATAAGCTAGACACAAAAGGACAAATACCACATGATTTCACTTATATGAGTTACCTAGAATAGGCAAAATTCAGAGACAGAAAGCAGGACAGATATTACCAGGGGAGAAATGGGTAGTTTCTGCTTGTTGGGCACAGAGTTTCTATTTGGAAGATGAAAAATTCTAGAAATGAGTAGTGGTGATGGTTGCACAACATTGTCAAGAGACTTAGCATCACTGAATTGTACACTTACAAATGGTTAAAATGCTGCATCCTATATTATGTATTTAACACTAAAAAATGGTAGAATATCAGTTACACTGTTTTACACCTAAATTTTGTTGTAAAATAATATATCTTAAGAGGATCACTGCTGGTATTAACATACTGTATTTATTGAAACTAGTTCCCTATTGATGGGTATTTAGGTTGTTTCCAATTTTTTGCTCTCCCATTGAAACAAAACTGCTGATATAAGCAATTTAAGACATCTATCAATTTGCATACGTGTGAGTCTATTTGAGGTATAAATTTCTAGAAGTATAAAAGCTGGGTCAAGAGACCGTACACTTTAATTTTTATTATAGGTATAAACAAATTATCTTCCACAGAGGTCATGTTCATTCATGAATCCGCCACAAAGCAGGTAAATGCCACTTCCCTACGTTCTTGTCAACCAGTAACATCGGAATCTTCGACAATTTGGTAATTTAAAAAAAGAAAAAGAACATCTGGGTACTTTTAACTTGTATCTCTATTTTTTATTTTTTTTAAAGATTTTATTTATTTGACAGAGAGAGATACAGCGAGAGAGGGAACACAAGCAGCGGGAGTGGGAGAGGGAGAAGCAGACTTCCCATGGAGCAGGGAGCCTGACGCAGGGCTCGATCCCAGGACCCTGGGATCATGACCTGAGCTGAAGGCAGACGCTTAACGACTGAGCCACCCAGGCGCCCCTAACTTGTATCTCTTTAATGGCTAAAGTCAGGCATATTTTCATTTAAGAACCACTAGTAACTTCTGTCTGCTTACCCTTTGCCTATTTTTCTGTTCGATATCGATCTTTTCTAATTGCTTTATATAAGCTCTTCATATATGAAGGAAATGTGATCTATGATATACATTGCAAATATTTTCCCAAAGTTGTCATATATCTTTGTTTCTGCCAGTTTTGGTTATGCAAACATTTTCAACTTTTACACAGTCCAATGTATCTTTTTCTGTATGAGTTCTAGGTTTTATGTCAAAGTTTATCAAAACTTCTTTCCCATCATTTCTTTTGGTATCTTTGCGGTTTCATTTTATGTTCATTTAAATCTGTAACTTACCTGGGAATTTATTCTGAAGTTGATGTGAGGGACGACTACAATTTTTTTTCCAAATGTCTATGCTGTTTCCAAATACCTCTTTAGAGAAAAATCCATCTTTTCCCACTTATCTGGGATGCTACCTTTATCATAAATTAGTTTATACTTGGGTCTACTGCTAAAGTTTCTATTCTAGTCAAATAATCTGTTTACTGATATATCATATAAATAATTTTAATTATTTTTAAGAATAAATTTATTTAAAGTAGGCTCCATGCCCAATGTGGGGCTTGAACTCACGACCCTGAGATCAAGAGTCCCATACTCTACTGATTGAGCTGGCCAGGCACCCCAAATAATTTGAATTATTATGAAGTTACAATGTTTTAATATCTGGTAAGGACAGGCCCTCACCCCCGACTATGCTTTTCAGAATTTTCCTGATTTTTGTTTCTCTTTGACGTTATTTAAAAAATCAGTTTAAGTTCCAACTTCCTCACAAGAAAATTCCCATTGGTACATCTCGTAGGATCACATTAAAGATTAACTTAGGGAGAATGAAAACTCTATGATGTTGAGACTTATTATTCAAATACACAGTATGTTTTTCAATTTGTTCAAGCATTCCTTTTTAAATGCATTAAGAGTGGGACACCTAGGTAGCTCAGTCTGTTAGGTGTCTGCCTTCGGCTTGTGTCACAATCCCAGGGTCCTGGAATCGAGTCCCACATCGGGCTCCTTGCTCGGCAGGAAGCCTGCTTTTCCCTCTCCCTCTGCCTGCCCCTCCCCCTGCTTGTGCTCTCTCTTTCCCTCTGACAAATAAATAAATAAAAATCTTAAAACAAAAACATAAATGCTTTAGGGCGCCTGGGTGGCTCAGTTGGTTAAGCGACTGCCTTCGGCTCAGGTCATGATCCTGGAGTCCCTGGATCGAGTCCCGCATCGGGCTCCCTGCTCGGTGAGGAGCCTGCTTCTCCCTCTAACCCTCCCCCCTCTCATGTACTCTCTCTCATTCTCGCTCTCTCAAATAAATAAATAAATCTTCAAAAAAAAACACAAATGCTTTAGAGCAGCATTTAAAAACTTTATTTACACAGATGGGGCACATATCTTCTTAAATTTATCCCAAGGTATTTTATCTTTTTATTACTATTATTGAATTTTTTTAAAGTGCTATTTATTTAAGCAATCTCTACACCCAATGTGGGGCTCAAACTCACAACCCCAAGATCAAGAGTCAGATATTCTACTGACTGAGCCAGCCAGGCGCCCCTATTATTCAATCTCTTAAGGCAGTTGCTTTGTTATCCATGTTGTACTCAACCATCTTTTTTTTTTTTTTTTAAAGATTCTATTTATTTATTTGACAGAGAGAGAGACAGTGAGAGAGGAAACACAAGCAGGGGGAGTGGGAGAGGGAGAAGCAGGCTTCCTGCCGAGCAGGGAGCCTGATGTGGGGCTCGATCCCAGGAGCCTGGGATCATGACCTGAGCCGAAGGCAGACACTTAACGACTGAGCCACTCAGGCGCCCCTGTACTCAACCATCTTACTTCTCTTATTGTGTGAAGTAATTCCTAGTTAATCCTCCTGAATTATCACATCCTTAATTTCCTCAGTGTAGATTTTGTTTCTTATCTCTAACTATGGTGACTAGTACTTATTTCTAACTATGCTCACTAGTACTTCCACAACATGGTTAAATAAGAGTGATACGGACACCCCTTATTTTGCACTCCTTAACAGGAGTGTTCATAGTTGATAATTTATTAAACATTTACATGCAAAACACCTAAAACATGTAAAAACAGGTCAGAAACATTTCAGAAGCTTAAAATAGCTGTAATTACTATCATTGCCTTAGATTTACACACAAGCACTTGACTTACACAATCCAAAGGCTTTTCAATTCAGAGAAGGCATAGTTATCAATTTCCATAATTCACAGAATGAAAAACAGAGATTTGGAAAGGGTAAAAATTATGCTCACAGCTAAAGAGTAAAACTGACTTAGTAGCCCTGGCATGGTTGTGGGCTCTGTGTGTCCTGACCTGGGGTTCCTACCAGGCCCTCACAAGACATGGAAAAGATAAAAGCTCAGGAAGCTTTTATTTAATAAAGCATACAAAATTAATAAAAACCTGCTGGACTCTGACTGGAACCATAATGAACTGATACATCAAATAGGGAGAAAAGTGACTTCTTTAAAATACCGAGTCTTCCAGCTATAAACATAATGAATCACTTCATTTATTTAGGTCTTCTTTAATGCCTTTCAATCATTTTCTCATAGGGTTTTTTTGTTTTTTTCCTAAGTAGGCGCCATGCCCAGTGTGGAGCCCAATGTGGGGCTTGAACCCATGACTCTGAAATCAAGATCTGAGCTGAGATCAAGAGTTAGACGCTTAACCGACTGAGCCATTCAGGCGCCCCAACTCACACAGTTTTTTGGTGTGTGTGTGTGTGTGTAGGAGTCTTTTACATTTTTTTTAA